TGAGGCTCAAGTTGTTGCTCCTGTACACTTGATGGATGAGGAAGAGGATGAAGAGGATGATATTCCTCTTTTAATCCTCAATAATAACGACGAGATTCCAATGGAACAGCGTAACGGCGATATTGTCGATCGCTATAAGAAAAACTCGCCCCCATTTTTTTATTACTATTTTTACATGTATATATATATTGTTTTTATAATTTTACCAAGACAAAAAAAAAAAACCTTTTTACCAAAAACAAAAAAAAAGAGAAAGTTATGTTTAGTTTTTTTATTTTTTTGATTTATTTTGTGAAAAGGAGGTATTAATTAATATAGATAAGAGTTTTGTTGCTTAAAATTTTCTTTGAAAGACGATTTCGTTTAGTTTTTTTTATATAATGAAATGTAATTATATTAAATTTTTTTTTAAAAATAAAAAATAAATAAATAAATAAAAAAAATAATAAAATAAAATAAAAAAATATATATATAATAAATAATAAAAAAAAGAGAATTATTACACCATATTTTTTTATTATTATATAAGAAAAACAAGTTTTCATTTTTCTCTTAAATAAAAATCAGTTTTATTTCATTTTGATAAAAAGTATCCTTTTTTTTACCTTTTTTTTATAAGAGAAATAACTATCTGTATAAAACTTGTAACTATCTGTATAAAACTTGTAATTATTTGTATAAAACTTGCATATAATTAAATGTTATAATTACTTAAATAAGAATACCTTTTACTCACCATTTTGTTTTGTTGCTCCAAAAAGGAAAATTCTCATCCATATTTTAAGAATATATTTGAAAAAAAGAACACAATTAATCCATTGAGATATAAATTTCGTGGGGAATAAATATTTAAAATATCACAAAATATTTTAAAAATAAACAAACACTTAATTATATATTTTTTATAATAAAATAAATTCTAAAGTGGACACACGCATAGGTGTGCCACATTTTTGTGTGGGGAGGTGTGGCATCTGGCATCAGTGCCTAGTAAATTTTATAGGGAATTTTAAATTCTATATAAATGAACTAGGAATTTTCGATTGTCATCATTGGAGGATTCGAATTTAAAAATCTAAAGTTATATTTATATTACAATTAAATATCATTATTATTATTGTTATTATTATTATTAATATTATATTTATTATTTGATTCAGAAATTGAAAAGACCTTCTATTTGACATTTGTTCTTTTTCTTTCTCTCTCTATCGTGTAATCATTGTATTATTTAAGAATGTTGTAAAACTATTATTATAAATAATTATATAAAACTGTAATTAGATATAATATTAATTTAAGTTTATTATTATTATTAGTGTTTAATTAATTAAGGAATATGCATTAAATATTTTACTTATAATTTAAAAATGAAACGAAACTATGATTATGAAATGCTGTATTTGTACTTCTTATTATTGATAAGAAAAAACTGCAAAATTATATTGTAAATCTTCGTATGACAGTTATTTTATTGCGCAGTTAAAAACTGCGCAGTAAAATATATAACAATAATGAGTCATTTGTAGGATGCGTAATAATCTGACCTTGAGATCTGTTAAATGCGTAATAATTTAACCTTGACACGTGTCATTATTTTGGTATTTGGAAAATGCGCAATAACTTGACCTTGAATGTTCAACGCTTATTGGTCAAGTGCCACGTCATCAGCGCTCTGATTGGTTAAACAAAGAGGGGAGGGTAAACTTCCCCCCTTTTAATTGGGTATTTAAAGAGAGCGCCTGAGACCCAAAGCTTCAGACAATTTTCGAGACTTGAGAAGAGACCACTAATTATTAGTGTATATCTTCAAAAAGTATTATATATTGTTAAAATCAACGAATCTTATAAAGTGTGAATAAAATCAAACCTTCGACAAACAATATAAATTGTTAAATTAATATTTAACAATAAAACAATTATTTGTAAAACAGAATTGTGAAGTGTATATTTAAAAGAAACAATATTTGAACTTAAATAAAATTGGTTTTTTACCCGAAAGGGGTTTTTCCAATCAATTATAAGTGTACATTTATTTATCCCACCTTTAATCTGAATAATAAATTCAAATTTAAATTCAGTGCCCGCTTTCAAGCGGTTATAACAGTAAAAAGAATCCAGCCATTGGTTATTGGTGAATCCAACGGAAATATACGTAAAATATAACCTGTGACGCGACAAATTACATTACTTTCCAATTTTTTCTTTTTCAATAACGTTTACGCATGGATTTAAACAATCTTTTCTATTATATCTACTATTAGGGAATTTGATTCTAGAAGAACGTCTAAGCTGATTTACTTCATCACTTGGACTATTTTGATTTGATTTCGGACTTTTTAAATTTTGTTTTTTTACTTTTGGGGTACTTATACTTTTGATTGTATCGTTTTGGAAACTCTCATAATTTTCACTCTCATTTAAATTTTTACTTTCCACGCTATTTTCGTTGTCTTCGTTATCTACTGTTTCATTATTTATACTTTCATTCGGTAAACCTATACATTTAATTTCCTCTTCGATTACATCGAAGTGTCTTGCATTAATAATCCTGTTATTAATTAATACTCTATAACCTGTTTCATTGTATCCCAATAATACACCTAGTTTAGCTTTGTCGTCCCATTTTGATTTTCTGATTTGATCGGGTATTCTTACAAATATTCTACTGCCATAAATTTTTAAATGTGTGACATCGGGTTTTTCACCAATAAATATTTCATACGGTGATTTATTTGGCTCGACTGTATTTCCTAAAGTTCGATTTTTTAAATAAGCCGCAGCTTTTACTACTTCGGGCCAATAAGTTTGATTAACTTTAGCTTCTTTAAACAAACATCTCGCGGTATTCATGATTGACCTGTTATATCTTTCAGCTACCCCATTTAGTTCGTGAACATGCGGTGCACCACGGTTTTAGATAAATTCCTTTTTCTCTAACAAAATTAAAAATATTTTTATTTAAGTATTCTTTGCCATTGTCGCAAATCAATTTTTTAATTCTTTTTCCGGTTAGGTTTTCTACTAAATTTACATAATCAACGAAGCAATTATAAATATCAGACTTTGCTTTGATTGTGTAAACTTTTGCTAATTTGCTATAATCATCCACGAAGGTTAAAAAATATTTTTCCCCACAATTTCCTGCAGTAGAATGATACCCGTTCAAATCAGTATGTACTATTTCCAAGATATCGTTTGCTTTATGTCTGATATTGTTAAAAGGTAGATTACTCATTTTACTTTCTATACAAATAGCACATTTTAGAAAATCATTTTCTAATTTTTTTGGAATACCATATAATGATTCATTTTTACAGATGTTAGCTAGGTATTAAAAGTTTACGTGTCCTAATGCCCTATGCCATTTTTCTTTTAAAGTCATACCATTATTTGTAACCAGGTTTACATCGATTTCTTTATTTTTGCTGTCATAAACAAAACTTGTTAAATGGTATAAATTTTCCTCTTTCTTTGCAATTGCTATTAGTTCTTTGTTCTTTGTTCTTTGTTCTTTGTTCTTTGTTTTCTTTGTTCTTTTGTTCTTTGTTTATAAATTTTAGAATTATTTCCCATAGAAACTATTTTATTTTCATTTGTGACCTTGGAATAACTGATCAAGTTTTGTTTCATATCTTTCACATAGAATACGTTATATAAGTTTATTTCACAACTTTGATCATAAGTTGGAAAAACTGCTTTAATTAAGCCTACTTTTGTTGCTTTTAAACATCGACCATCTCCTAATTTAACATCTATAGGATTTTTTAAAGTTACAAATTCGTCAAAAAAAGAATCATTATTTATAACATGATCAGTACATCCACTGTCTAGAATCCAATCTATTTGGTTTTTTTTATTTTTATTTGTGTTACCTTTGTTGATCTGTGAAGAATTTACCTCTGTGGTGAACGCGTTGCTTGGACCGGGTTGATGATCTTGATTAAACCATGGTGATTTTTGAGCACCTCTGTTGTTACTGCTCCTTCCACGACCACGATGTTGACTTTGATTGGGTGATCCACGATGATATTTGCCTCTGCCTCTTTGATGGTCCCTGTTATAACTGCGTCCCCTTCCTTGTCCCTTTGGAGGTGGTGATCCTTCAGTGTACTCGTTTTGTTTATGTCCAGGTTTGCCGCATGAATAGCATTTTCCACGCATGTTTGTGGAAAAGGCGTTGAAATTCTGGTCATTTTGTTGATCTCGGTTTTGATTTTCTTCAGTTGCTTTCATTGAGATTTTTATTTTGAGGAAATCGACTGTTCTTTGATTTTCGGGTAATACGTCAATAAGGTCTCCGATGTAACTGTATGACTGTGGTAGTGCTTTTAGTAAGTAGTGCAATTTTTCATCTTGTGTGACTGTTGCACCAGCCGCTTTCAATTCGTTTGTAGCTCTTTCAAATTCGTCGAAAAATGTTTTTACTTCCGTGAAGTCTTTTAATTTTATATTTTCGAGATTGTTCCTGCAGATTATTTGTAGTGCTGTTGATTCCCTTAAATACATTTCATCAAACTTATTCATTATTTTGAATGATGAGTCAAGGTCTCCGACATACTCGAGTTGTTTATTTGTGATACAGCTATAGATAAAATTCGTGGCTTTGATGTCGGTACGTTTTCATTCAGCTTCGTCTTTGTCTTGTTGAGTTTTCTCTCGAGTAGCTGGTTCTTTGCAATTTTTAAATTCGAAGAATTTCAATATTCTCTTTTTCCAATTTATATAATCGGAACCATCAAAACTAGGGATCACTATATCATCAACTTTTGCTAACGCCATTTTAAAAATTTTTTTCGTTTCACTCACTGGCACTATAATCTTTTCACAAAAACTTTTCTTTTTTTTCTTTTTTTTTCTTTTTGTATCCGAGGCCTGGAACTATTAAAAATAATTTTTTTGATAAAAAATTTTGCTGGGTCTACGTGGACATTTACTTTGGTTCCCCCCTCCCCTTATCGTAGACAATAGTGGATTTTTGACAACCCCCCCTCCCCCTACACTGCCCACGTGGCATATGAACGACCCTCTAGCAACCTGCAATAAAATTTAATTACTTACTATTATTTGCTTCTAGATAAGGATGATCTCTATTTACAGCTAACACTGGCGCTAGTGCTAGTGGTTCAACAAGCCCCTCCTCTTGCACTTGTTCAACCAGCCCCTCCTCTTGTACTTGTTCAACAAACCTCTCCTCTTGCACTTGTTCAACAAGCCTCTCCTCTTGGACTTGTTCATTCAGCCCCTCCTCTTGCACTTGTTCAACCAGCTCCTCCTCTTGTACTTGTTCAACAAGTCCCTCTGCTGGCCCTGGTTCCATGACTTCCTTTTCCTGTATTAGAGGAACAAATTCTTCTGGTGCTGCTACTTCTTCCCGAATTGGAGCAAGTGGATCGACTGGTGCAGGTTGTTCATATTCTTAAACAATGTCATCTGCTGCCAATGCGTCAAATTCTTGGGCTACTTCAGCTAAAAGTGATATTTGCTTAGTTAGTTTTAAATTTTAATTATAAATTCATAAAATGAAAGCTTTGAATATAGAGATAATGTAAATAGAGTGGGGATGGTTTGCATGTATGCGTCCGCTTGATAGAAAGAGAAAGAAGATTTAACACATTAGGTGTCTCTCTTGCGCTGGAGCTCATTGTAGGACAGATACTGGTGTTAAATCTTCTTTTTCCCTCCAACCCATTCTGTTTATGGCAGGACACTTCCCCACACGCTGCCGCCTATACCTTCCTCACTCTATTTATAATATCTCTATGGCTTTGAATGAACTGAAATAATTTTTATAATGCAATATTTTTCCTTACGAATATAAAGCATTTCATGAAACTCATTCTCTGCATTATCTGATACTTCAAGGTATACAATGAAGTGCTCTATTAAAGGCGAAATAATGTTATAGGAAACATCTTTGAGAAATCTTTCGACAGTTAGTCTTCCTCTAGGAGGCAGAGATTCCCAAACATGTCTAATTTTTCCATTTTTTGATTTATTGTTCAAAGTTGGTGATTTCAAATTACTATTCAATCCTTGTTGCAAGCGGCTGACTTAATCCTATACTTTTCCTTGGAGGGACACTATTGATTCTGAAAAATTTTAATTATAATTTAATTAGTAATTTAGTAAATATTCCTGAGGCTTTTTATTGAGGAGGGTGAAAGATAACAATTAAACTGATAGAGTAAAATATTATATACTTGTGAATTCCCAACATGATTTTGGTCGAGTTCCAACTGTAGATTCAAGGCGGCCAGAATAATGTTCCATTACGTCACTGATTGAATCAAAGCTGTTATAAACACTGAAATTCTGCAGCCCTATCTCTAGGCAAATCTCTTCATAAAAATTTAATAATACTGACAATCTATGTGATCTTCCATGTTTCGTTTTTAAATTAGCCAGCTCTTCCAAAATCTTATGAGAAGGGAGTAACGACAATGACATTAATTCTTTTAACGCCGCTCCAATTTCATCATTCCGCATTAATAAACGACGTTGTAAATTCAAATCCAGAATTTTGTTGAAAATTTCCTGTAAGAATAAGGTACATTCATATACATATATTTTTTAACAGTGTCTTCTGAACAAAAACTCATAAAATATAGTAATAAATAGAATATATATTTTCAAACAACGTTAAGAATTGACTTTAGTCAATTCAGCTTTAGATATAGACAAATTAAATCATTAAAAATTTTCATAGCTTGTTTACAAATAAAATTTAATTATTAACCAATTCTTGTCACTTTAATCTGCAAACTTCATAATTTCATTTAACACAAATGTACAGAAAAGCAAGAAAACTTTTGACTAACACCATTGTTTTACGGTTTCGTGGCCAAGGGCCAAAACTCTTATAGCGAGACTTCGGCGGTGTACGTCCGTAGTTTTCCTTAGCAACCGTTGCAATGGTAATGGTTGACATGGCAACGGTTGTTATAACAACCGTTGCTATGGTAATATATGGTAATAGTTAATTTTACTATTTATTTATTTATTTATTTATTTTATCCTTTTAAACCACGAAACCCTAAGATGTAGGCGCGTTGCGCCTGCTTCTCTCACTGATTTTTTACTCATTTTGTTATCCTCAATTATTATTTCTTTGCACTTTACTCGTGCTGTGAGAGATACAAATATTTTTATTTTATATTAATTTACTAAAAATACAACAATTAAGTAAGACAAAAAAGACATTTCTAACCAAAAGTGCATTTACGAAGTTTGAATGTAATTGTAATTTATCAATGTACTGTTTATTTTCGTAAATAATATGTTTTCCATTTACTCCTAAAAATAAGTTTTTGTTTAAAAGTTTTATATTAATTGAAGCGTTTTTTGCAGAAACCGCATAAGTCCATTTTTTTCGAAAATCACTTTTTTATTGAAAATTTATCTTTAAATGAAGCTTTTCAATCTGGTAAAATATTACATAAGCGACTAAACTCTAAACCCTTAAAAAAATAATTAAAATATCATTTTGTGCAGAAACAGCACAAGTCCATGATAAGTTTTATATTTATTTGTGATATTCTTGACGTATTGTAATAATTTATATTAAACAGTTTATATTATAAATAAAAACACTCATGGGAAGCAAAAAGTGACAGTGGTGACTGAATTATTTTAAAATTAGAAAATATTGAAAATTGGTTAAATTTATTCTTAAAACAATTTTATTATTTATAAAATGTTACTAAAAATTAGCCAAATTTAATATTTTAAATAAATCTTATTAAATATTTCATAAAACTTTGATATTTCACTGGATTTAATAAATTTTCTGTGTTTTTCATTTCATTTTGTGCAGAAACAGCATAAGTCCAAATGTTAATTTATTTTTAATTTTTTATATTAAGTAGATAATTAATAAATCATATTGGATTTTTTAACTTATAGGTTAGTAGAATATAATGCAAAAAGCCGAATTAAAAAAATCTTAACATTTACGAGAAAAACAGTTTTTATTGATTCCTGAACAATTTCGAATTATGGACTTATGCTGTTTCTGCACAAAACGCTTCAATTAGTATATCAAAATTTTACCTCAATTTGATAATAGACGCAATTACATATAATTACATTATGAAATGTCTCTTTTAGGAAGGTCACCAAAGGTCTCTTCGTATTTCATTACCACCTGTCTCATTTCAAAGGCAGGTAGCAGTCTTTTAATTTCATTTATAATAGTACTAAACGCTTGGATAGAGTGACTTTCCATAAGGGCCTATATTATAGGAATGACCTACAAGTGTATTGAAAGACAATTTTAATATTTTTAAATTTATATTTATGTAACTATAAAAAACATTATTTTTAAAAAACTTTGAAACTGCTATAAAAATTAGTTTTGAAAAAGTTGTGTATAATTTGGTGCTGACAATTTTTGATTTCATAATAATAATAAACAAATTTAGTAAAGGATCGTCCAAAATATAATTTCATAATCTGAAAAGTTATTCCAATTACACAAAAATGTTATAAAATCCTAATTTTTACATATGTTTTACTTACCCGACCATTGACAACGCTCATAAGAGTTAATAATTGAGATGTTCCTAAACGATTTGGTACTGCCTTCTTCGATACATGCAAAAAAATTCTCCACTCTCGCAGGCATTAGTAGCAAATTCTCTGTCGATAATCAGTACAGAAAAAGCACCATCAGCATCATCTAACAATATAAATTCTACAGAACCGTTTACATATTGTCTTAAATGGCTCCATTCCTCCATTTGTAAAATATCAGCATACTCTGTGAGGGAGTTGACTTCTTCAGGTATATTTCTCCTTCGATGACGATACATACTAGTATGAACACTTTCATAAGGCACGCCAATAACAGCTTCCTCATGACTACAAATATATAAAGTAATTTTTTTTAAACGAAATGGTAATTTAAACTTCATTTTATTAAAAATATATTAATCTTTTATTATAATATTTTATAAAGGAACATAATTTATAAACCACTAATACACGGAAGAAAAATTATTATCAAAATTTAATTTTGATATAACTTTACTAAATATCATAAAATTTTTTTAAAGTTTAGTATTTCTGGTATAAAAATTTCGCTTTGTGACTACAATTGTAAAATACTTTTATAAAATCAAGTAATGACTTTTTTCCGTGTTAGTTTATTTTTGTAATTTTAACGTTAAAAGATTTTTAAAGTATAAAATAATTTAACAAGGGAAATAACAACTTGAAGAAAAGAATTATTTAATAAAGTTATAAGTAATTAGTTATATAAAACTATACTCTTTACAAAGGGTTCAAAAAAAAAAATTTATTTGTCGCTTGCAGGTAATGCTTTATTAGTGAAAGAGATTTTGTAGAATGTAATTAGAAATCTAATTAACTTTTGAACTGATTACGTGATTAATAACCTAATTGACTACTCTATTTATTAACTAATAATATTAAACTGCAAATGAGCGGACATAAAGAAGAATAACTCGCCGAGCATGCAACCGACGGCAACCATGGCCATAGAAAAACACTTTTACATTTGTAAATTTACAAATGATAAATATTTTTAATATATTTATATATTTTTTGAAACAAACCAATATTTCTTTCACTTCATATAAATGATTAGGTCATATAAAACAAATTAATGTAATACACGTAGCAAATTAAATTTAACTGAGCAATAATCTGGATTTAAAACATTTATTTCGTTTAATACAACTAACAACTTTCAATAAAATTTTCCTTTCAGCCATCCAAATAAATTTTAAATGTTAAATTGTAAAGAACCAAATTCTTTTTTAATTTACAAATATGATTTATTGAGAAAAATAAAATAGGTTAATTCAACAGTTTGGTTTGTAAAAATAAAATATAAATATGAGATTTCTAGCTCTGTTAATTTTTTTTCTCACTCCATTTCCAAATTTACAACTGAACTGCGTGCCTAGCTTTTTCGAAACGAATTACACAACATATAGAATAACTTTTATTATTATTTTAGCAATTTTTAATTTGTAACTTTAGTACTCTGTACACACAAAAAACCCAGTCTCAATTTTCTTGCATCTCAAAATAAGACTATGTTAAACACCATAGAACGTGGCGCCACCTCAATTTTGTTGCAACTCAAAATGAGTAGCGTATGCTACTCATTTTGAGACTAGGTTTCTTCAGTGTACGAAAGGGAAACGATAGGATCTATTTATTTTTAAATTTTTATATACACAGTGAAAACGGTAGGACTAACTTGCTATTTGGCCAAATCACAATTTTACACAAAAAGAAGGTTAAGTTTGGAGAGACTCAGTCTGAAAACACATATACTGTGAAAAATTTGTGTGATTTGTGATTTGGCCACAACTGCGTATATAAAAATGAAAAATTTAGATATAAATAGATGTCATCGTTTGCCCACGATCGGACAAGGATTAATAATTGTTAATTTAGTGCTAATTTTAAAAAAAAATTTTGGAAAAATTGATAGATACATACATTGTTAAAAATAAAATTTTATTAAAAAAATTTTTAAATCTTATCGTAAATTATTTTAAAATTATTAAAAAACATTTTTATTAAAAACTACGCATGAAAACAAAACTTTTCATTATAAAAACGTCCAATTTGATCAATTTTTTGACCGAGTTATAAGCATTTAAAAAAAATTTAAGTAAAAAATGTAATTTTTAAACAAATTTGTATCTCATGAACCACTTTATGAAAAAATTTGAAAAAAATCAAGGTAGCTCATTTCAAAGAGTACTAAAAGAAACAAAAAGTTTTTAAAAATTTGAGATGCAAAAGCAAAATGATTTCCGGCTTGGCGTAAAGTGCCCCATATGTAAATAAAAAAATAAAATATATATATATACTTACAAATGCGCAAGTTCATTGTAAATTTGTCTATTTGAGATCGGTTGAGATCTTGCAGCATTATTCAGTTCCTGGCGAAAAGAGCGTTCAGCTTGTATCCTTGCATTCGGTGCATGAGTATGTTGCTTATAGCGAATTCGGTTATCTGCACCGGAGCACTCTCGGAGTGCTCCAAAGCAGGAGTAGCATGTTCGGTTTGACAAATGTGCTCTAGTGCAGACCGTTTGGAGTATTCGCTTTAGCAGCACTGCTCCGGCGCAGATCGTTATTTGTGTTCGAATTAAGAAGTGTGCACTCTCAAGGATTAAAAGGTGCAACAAAATTTGCTCCCACAATTTTGTTAGTGCAGTTTAGAAAAATGTCAAGAGAAGCGGCAAATTTAAAATTTTCACTTCTAACAGATTTAATTGACACCTCTAGCGATAGTAGTGAAGACGTACGTATTATGTTTTTTATAATGAATTTTGTATTTAGAGAAAGACTAACATTTAATATTTTAATATTTAATAAAAAAAGTAAATAATTTTTAATATTTTTAATATTTAAATAAAAATACTCATTATAAAGTAATTATTTGGTCTCAAAGAAATAACCTTTTCACTTATTTTATTATTGTTGTTGTTAGTAGTTCAAAATGTCAAATAGTGTAAACAAAATTTATATCAGAAATGCTATTCGATAATTTTGTGATTAACAATTCTGCTATATCAAAACATTGACCGAATAAAATTTTAAAATTCTAATAAAAATATCAAATTTTTTGCTTTTAAAAATATTATTGATGTATACATCATAAAATATTTAATTTTAAGTAAAATAATTTTACATTTATGAAGAAAATATATTGCATAATATAATGTATAATAATATATATAATATAATAAATATAATATTATATTACATTATATTATATAAGTTTAATTAAATATAAACTTCGCGCCAAACGAGCAGTGTATGCTTTACACCATAGCAGTTCAAGTTGTGCTCCTGCTCCAAAAACAGTTGAACTTTGCCAGTGTTCATGACGTCATAGAGTGCCTCAGAGTAGAGCACAGCTTTTTGAGAGCAGAGTAAACTATACTCCTACACCGAGCAAGATCGCTCTCGGAGCAGATAACCGAATTCGCTATTAGTTAAGGTAATTATTCCCCGAGTCTCATGTCCTCGAGCTGGACAAGACTTCGAATTTTTAAATTTACATACAAAATATCTGTAAAAATTAATTAATATTATTTTATATAAACATTCATATTATATTACCATCAGGGTTGCCACAAATATTTAATTTCATTTTTCCCTGAGTTTTCCCTGACTTTCAGACAAAATTTTCACTTTATCCCTGACCATAAAGAATATTCTGATTTACTCTAAACATTATTAGATACTCAAAAAAACATTCTATTACACTTACTTATGAATTCCTTAAATTTTAAAATTATTCGCAATTATCAATAACTAAATTTTTAAATAAGTATTTAATTATTATTTTTCCATAGAAATTAAAATTCTTCAAAAAATTCAAATTCAAACATTTTTAAAATTAAACAAGTTATTAGAACATTATTATAAAACCTGAAGTTATCAATTACTCTGAGTCGAAGACTCGGAGTGATTGATATCTTCATGTTTTATAAAAATTTTAATTTCCATAAAATTTTTCAAAAAAAAAATTAAATTATTTACAAAAATTATAATAAAATTCGTTGCAAGAATTGACTTATTTTCATAAATAATAAAATTCTTCACATGGTTTCAATTATTTTTAATACAATTTCAAATAAATTTCTCGAAAAATAAAATTATCTTCAAAAATTTTTTGGAAGAATTAAATTAGGTACATTTTACAAATAATGAAATTCTTCGCTGAAATTCATAAATTTTTAAAATTTACATTTTTAATACAAATTTTAAGAAGAATATAATTATTTAAATAAAATGTTATAAAATTCGTTGCATTAATTCAATTATTTTTCAAATTAATAAAATTTTCCACATGAATTCCATTATTTAAAAAAAATTGATAAAATTCGTTGTAAGAATACAATTATTTTCATAAATTATAAAATTTTTCTGAGGATTTCAATTATAGGACGCTGCACGGTGGGAAATATTTAAAAGTACGCATAGGCGTAGCGAGCGATTTCTCCTCAACTTCCACTCTTTTCCCCTCTTTTCGTCGCTCTTGGTGAAATTTTTTGACTTTGATAATTAATTAAAAAAAATCCAGATTGAAAATGAAAAAAAGGGCGATTTAGGGAAAAATAATATTTAATAGAGAATATAAAACAAATTTTTTTATGACGATTAGATGTTTCTATGGGCGTAAATATCAATCCGCGTTTTACGAAACATATCAAACTGATAGCTCTATATGAGAAGTTGGACATGGCCGACCATAACAGGTTGCTCCGTTTGCGTGGTACAGTAGGAATGAACGTGAGGAACAAAAATATTTAATGTCAATTACTCTTATTGTTTACTATTATATTTATTATTTGTTTATTTATTTATTATTGTTATTATATCTATTATTATTTATTATTATACTTACTTTTTAAAAATATTATTATGGACAATTATTAAAACAATAAAGGGAAATTTTTTATGAAAAAATTATTAAACAAATAAAATTACTAAACAAAAAAAAGTAAATAATAAAAAATTATGAAATGTATAATTTTTTAAATTATATTAGTTATACAAATTTTTTTAAACAAAATTATTTCAAATACCAAGATTAACTTTTTTTATAGACAATTTAAAAATTAATACACTGGGAATAATATTGACACATTCAGAAAAAATAAATTTTAATGGATAATTTTTTTTATTACTTATCAACTATAGTTTATTTCTAAAAAAATTATACATTTCATAATTTTTTATTATTTACTCTTTTTTGTTTAGAAATTTTATTTGTTTAATAAT